GTACTTGTCGTACTTTAATTCATATTCAGTCTAAAGCCATAAAGTATTATTAGACTTTGAATTGTCGTTAAGACATTGGAAGTTTCCCCTTTGAATATTCCTTAAATTTTATAAATACCTTTGAGTATTTCGAAAGCCCCATCAAAACGGTAACAATATTTACTATAAATAAATTAAAATTGTAAAATTTTTAAATCTAAATATTTTTTTGAATATTTATTTTCAATATCAATTAGCTTATATTAATTTGTAACTCTAATTTTGATCTATAACTTTACTTAAAAACTTATTGAATATTTACTTGAACTGAACTTTTGATCAAATTTGAAGTTTGAACTAAACTTAAACCAAACTATTAATTGAGTTCAAATTTTTGAATCAGATTTAATTAGATTTGAGTTTAATTCAAGTTCAAACCAGACTTTTTTTCAGAATTTTAGTCACAAAAAGATATATAAATAATACATATAATTAGATCAAATATGAAAATTTATGTATAATTAACCTTTATAGTATGAGAAAATATTAAATTACTAAAAATAGGTAACATATATATATTTATTTTGTGATCAGCTAAAATAAGATTAAAAATATTTAAAGATAATTTGCTTTTTAATTTGGTTTATAAATAAGTAAAGTAATTTATTAATTCAATTATATTACTTTGATTTTACAATTAAGATGAGAGTTTAAATACAAAAATTATAAGAAATATATAATTTTTGTAATTCAAATAAGAGATTATAAAATCAAATAATAATAACTTTACAATTAAAATAAGAGATTATAAGAAAATATCAAAAAAATTATTAAAAATAATTAGAATTAAAACTACTTCTTAAAATTACTTAAGCTAAGATATATATTATATTTAACTACTTTTTAAAATTATCTAAACTAAGATACATATTATAGTTATATTCAAATTTCTCTATAATTGACACTCTCAGAAAAGCAAATTTTGATAACTATAGAGAAAATGTAATTATAAATAGATATAATTATAAATAAATATGATTACAAAAAGATTTGATTATATTTGTTACTCAATTATTAAAATCTAAAACTAAATTTGATTGATAATAATATCATATAAAAAGTGCTTGTTCACTTGATTATTATATATTATTTACTCTAATATTATATATAATTTATAATTAAATTAAATAATATCAATTAATTAACATATATTTTCTATATTAATATAAGATTATTAATAATAATACAAAATAAAATATGAATAATATGAAATAATTAAAATAATATAAATAAAATATATAAATAATATAAAATAAAAAATAATGTGATTTATAAATCATATATAAATTAACTATTCAATCAAAATAAAATATATAATATGTTAAAATTTATATTAGAATAATACTTATTTAATTCAAAATTCTAATAAGTTTAATAATAGTATTTAAATAGATTTAATATAATTCAAAGCTATTTATATACAAGTTTTGAAATATATAATTAAAAATAAAAAAAATAAAATATTAAGAAATAAAAAATTTTTGTTTATTATATTATTTGATTTTTAAGTTTCAATATATTAAATTAAAACTCAAATATTATTGAAATATATAATTAAAAAGATAAAATAATTAGATAGAAAAAATAAATAATAAGATAAAAAATAAAATAACAAAATAAAAAAACAAAATAACTAGATAAAAAAATAAAAAAAAATAAAAAAAATAAAATAAATAAGTTATTTTTATCAATATACTTATTTTTAAACTATTTTTAAATTGTTTTTTAACTATTTTTAATTTTTATAATTTTTAAAAAATAAAAAAATTTATGTTATTATTATATTATATTAACAAATAATATAATAATTATATTATTAAATTTAATAATAATTTTTTATAAATATTATTATAATGGAATTTTATTATAAATATAACTATATAAAAATAATTTTATTGTAAAAAAAAGTATAACTAAAATATTATATAATTATAATAAATTAAATAATAAGTTATTTATTAAAAAAATTATTACAAAAAGTAAAATTAAAGCTTTAAATTAATTAACTAATTGATTTTTATATTAAAATCAATAAAAATTAAGTAAATTATATATACAATGATAATTAAAAATAATACAATGCAAAAAAATTTATTAATAAAAATATGAATTTTTCTTTTTATATAAAAGTTTTTAATTTAAATATTTTTTATTTTTATATTAAAATAAAGATTATATTACATATTTAACATATATATTTTTTAATTATATATAAATTATTGATTTTATATATAATTAAAATAATTTGATCAAATCAAATTTAAAAAATCTGAAAAAAATATATATTAAAATATGTAATATTATCTTTATTTTAATATAATATTTATTAGTAAAATTAAAAACTTTTATATAAAGAGAAAAATTTGTATTTTATTATATTTTATTAATAAATTTTAATGCTATTGCATTATTTTTTATTGTCATTATATATATATCAAAAATTAAATTTGAATTCAAGTTAAATTTAATTAAAGATTTGATCAAACTTTTTTATCAATTATTACAAAGAATAAAATATAAGAATTATATAATTTAAATCTAATTAATAACTTTTAAATTTCAGATATTTTTGCTATTTTATAAGTTGCTTTTGCTATATTATAAATTGTTAGTTTTAAATTACTTTGCTCAACTATTTGTGCAACTTTCTAAAAATATTATCCAATAAAAATAGGGTGATAATGTTCAAAAATTGAATTTCAAGTTATTTTACTTTTGTGATACGATCATAAATTACATCACCAAATTTATATAATTACTTATATTGAATGAGCAAATGATTTCTTTGAATAAAGCAATAACAATATTAAAAATAAGTTTATTGTTTTACTTCATATGACATGACGAAAAGTCACTTTTTTTGGTGAACACTCATATAAATTATTGCGCCCTTATTCTTGTGGATCATTCAGAAAATCCGAAAAAAACTAGTTTTTTTACACACAAAAACGAGTTATAGTCACATTGTGATATCTGACACAATAGACAAATCAACAATAGATTTTTTGTGACCAGACGCGAAATTCTTCAATCGATAAAAACTTTAAGTCAGATGTTGAACTAATGCGGAGATTAAAACAACTTTACCCATCAAATCTAATGATATTTTCAAAACCGTTTAATCATCACACCAAAAACTATGTTAATAAAAATAATACTCCTTTATTTTCGTGCATAATGCGATCCTTTTCAATATGTAATACACACTACGCAAAAAAAGGTAGATCGAAATAAATATCAATTCATCACACCACCTGATTCACTGATTTTTTTGTTTCTTTTTCTGGATAAATTCACAGAAAAGCCCTCTCAAAGTCCATTATCACCATCAAAAAAATCAATTTCAGAAAATGCACCTAACACTATTCAAGCCACCATGTCGATATCTGCCGCACCAGCAGGCACAGTACTTCAAGGCATTAATTACTTAAAAGATGGCACGGATCCAATTGCATTGCCTGATCACGAATATCCGGAATGGTTATGGGAAATACTGGATGAAAAGAAACAAAAAGAATGGGCTAATGATCCAACTAATCGTCAATATCTTCGTAAAATTCGACGTGAAAAAATTCGTGACGCAAATTTCGATAAAAATAAGAACAAATAATAATGTTTTTAAAATTTTTTAATTTCCAAAATAATGTCTCAACGAAAAATAACCGTAGAAATACAGCTTGTATAGTTAATAATCCAATTTAGTCATAAATAATTGTTAATTATCTATTTACATGCACTCTTAAAGCACAAGCATCTCGTCAAAAATAATATATGATCTACAATTCAATCAATGGTGGCGCTTCGTCAATCTGCTGCGACTGTTGCTGATATCTAGAAATTTCGATTTAATTTTAATAAAAGTATTATCGATTTTCTATTATAGCAAATACAAAATAACCTTCTTACCCTGTATCCTGGTAACCTTGCAAAATAGAATACGATTCCACGCCATTAATTGATTGTTGTTGATGATTAACATTAACTTGACGATATTCGATGGGATTTGTAGGAACAATAGCATCATTATTGGTTGTTCCAGCAACGGGCGCGTAAGGTGTAGGTGTTTGCTGTGCATATGAATATTGAGTATAAGGCACTTGTTTTGATTGTGTATATTGTTGTGAATAATATGCCTGTTGTTCAGTTTGATTTGAATATGCCTGTTGTTCAGTTTGATTTGAATATGCCTGTTGTTCAGTTTGATTTGAATGTGATTGTTGATTAGCAAGTATAGATTGGGAAGAGTAATAAGTTGGTGATTGTGCAGGTGCTGAAGCAGCCGGATAATTAAGCTGAGGGTAAAGATTTGGCGTTTGTGCAGTTGTATTGATGTTAGGATAGAAAGATCCAACGCCTTGAGTTCCAACTGGATTTACTTGTTGATGTTGATGCAAAGAATATGGCGTGGTTGAAGCTCGACGCGTATATGCACTGGAAAGTCTCTCTTCCAAAAGTCTGTCATATAATTTGACAACTTGAGATAATTTTTCATGTATATCTACAAGATTCTCTGTTTAAAAAAGAATTTAATAAGTTTAATTGATAAATAATGGAAACTGTTACTGAAACATTTACTTACGATGCTTTTGTATTGTTTCACTCAAAGTTTTCGTTAATTTTGGTTTTAATTCACCGATTCTTTCACATAATTCCTAGCACAAAAAAAACATATTAAACTTGTTTCATCATTAATTAAATAACTAAATAAATTCTCAATACCTGCACTTGGCGTTCTCTCATTAAATCACCTCCGTTTTGCTGAATTCGTTCCACTATTTCAGAAAATTTGTAGATATTTTCAGCTTCAATAGCAGAAAGCTCATTATGAGATGTTGATTGAGATGCTGATTGAGATGCTGATTGAGATAGAGATGTTGATGCAGTTGGCAACTTGTACGATTGCACATCATATCCCACGTAAGATGATGAGTAGTTTGATCTCTGTTGATTCAGATTCATTTCTTGTAATGAAGCTGCAATAGCAGCTGCTAGATCAGCATCCTCTTCTTCTTCCTTTACTGGTTCCTTTTTTGAAGATATTAAGTTATTTTTAAAAATTATAGCACACAATCATCGAGAGATATATATCTCTCTCTCAACAATACCTGTTTTTTTGGTTGTTCTACAACTTTTGGAGTTGTCTTTTGTTGAAAAGATGTAAATCCACGACTAGATTCTGCTTCTTTTAACGAAAGTTCTATAGCTTTCTTAATATCTTCATCATCTTCATCTTCGTGACGTGAATTTGCTGTATTGTTACTACCGTTTGGTAACGAAGAGGTGCGTGAATGTACTGAATTTTGCGGACTTTTATGCGCAGTTTGATCAATACTTGTACTAGAAAAGATTTTTCATTATTCAGTATTTTGAATATTCATAAATATATTCATCATAACTAGGATACTACCTTCTTGACTTTTTTAATTGTCTTTTAATATGACATGAATCGCATACTCTAACTGGATCATTTATACCAATATGGGGCAATGCCATAGTTTTTGAAGAACATTCTCCGCAAAAAGTCTGACCACAGTTACGACAATGATGCTAAAATAAATTACGATCAGTTAGATTCACATGTAATTAAATAGAAAAGTATTCTGAATTCAATACCTTTCTGTTAAATGTAGTGAATTGTGTTCGACATCGCATGCACACGTCACTGTCCGTCCATTCTGGAGGCTATCGAACATTATTAGAAATTAAGTATAAAGTTCAAAAACAATATAAAAACAATATAAAAACGTCAGTACTCACTGTTGCAGTATCAATCATGACTGAGGACGCAGCTTTTTCGAGCTTCGGAAATGAATAATCTGAATTCAAAGATTGGATATCAAGAACAATTTTCATGCTTTCTAGATTTACTAAAAATTATCATTATTTTAAGCAGAAATTCACCTTCTTTTAATAAGCGATATGTATCAGAAACATAGCTCAATTCAGGCTTTCCATCGAATGCAATACCCCATGTTTGAATTAGACTCAAAATTTTTGATCGAACCTCCGAATTGCAAGTCTGTAATTATAAGAAACTTGAGTAAGCAAAAATTAAGAATTGAGGGGTAATCATGAACTTTAGAACCTTTCGACTTACAGTTGATCTAAGAATCGATACAAGATTATCAACAAACTCACGAGAAGCAATATCAATTAAAAAATGGTGACCGCCATTTTTAACGCAGGTATCAGTCAACTATAGACGAATGATAAAACAGCTTAGTTTTAACGTGCATTATAATAGCGTGAATGCTTCTGCAGTTCAGTATATTTACATACACTTAAAGCTAAGAGTTGAACATTGGGGTTGCTATGATCAATTCGTCTTTTTAAAGCCCGCATAGCTTCCTTAGCAGGAACCGATTTACTACGTATTTGATCGGAAATATCAAGATTTAATCCTAAATCTTCTTGTCCCTTAGGAAGGAACTCGGAGGTAGCTTTATCTATGTGTACGAGAGACAGGATTAATGGGTTGGTTCCACGTAAAATGCAAAACCATTCTCATGATTCGAAGTTTACCTATTAGCTCGTCAAAAGGATTCGAACCCCAAATTCTGGCTACCATTTCTGTAACTATTTGTGAAAGTATTGCAAGCTAAAAAAGAGCTTTTGATGTTTTACAACGCTTTTTATTACAATAAAATAAAGAGAATTAAGTAACGGTATGCGATTAACATGACCTTTTAAGACAGTATACTATATGTCATCACGTGAATTAATCATGTGAGGATTTTTAAGACCCGTCTTGGCACTATTTATTATAAATATACTGGTTTTTGCCAATAAAAATAACATCGATATAATAATCTTACTATTATAAAAAAAAACCGCTATTCTCTATCTATTCACAAACTAAAAATTCATTTTCTTGTTTACTACCATCTTAACAGTAACCTTAATAGTAATAATAGTAAAACAATAATAATAAAATAATAAATAAATAAAAATAAAAACCCAAAAAACTTGGACATAATAATACTCGGATTCCTTTACTATAAAAAAACAAGACAAACATCCCAACACACTGGTGTAATAAAGGAATGAAGTAGGAGGTAATTGAGAAATACGAGGTGGTAGTGTAGTAAAGAAAATTTTTTAAGTATTAAGAAAAAACGTGACATGATTCACATTATATATTAGTATCATATATATAAATATTATCATCGATCAACTATCGATGAGTAATATCAAAATGTTATGCATGTTCTCTCTCTCTATATAAAAACGCGACAAAGATAAAAAATACAATTGTTGTTGGTGGTGAGATGGCGTAAAGTTAACAATTGCAACCGCCCCCGTCTCTGTTAATTGGGCTCCCCTGCTGCATTAAATCTATTTGCCTGGTCTGATTATGAGGACCTGGACGTGTTGATGGTCGATTGGAAATGATATGTTCAAGAGGGATCTTTTTGGCTATTAAGAAGAAAATTAATATTATTATTGATGATATTTATCAATAAAAATGAGACTTGGAGCAAAGAATAATCATAATAATGATGATAATTGATCACTCATACCAATTTCTGTGAAGACATTTGTAACGCCATCTCCTTTTTTCGCACTTGTTTCAAAGAACAATAAACCAGTCTCATTTGAGTAAGCTTTGGCTTCTTCGGTCGGAACTTGTCTTCCGCTTTCCATTTCAAACGATTCGTCTTCTCCTTCCCCAGCTGGTTGAACGAGATCTACTTTATTACCGGCAAGCGCAATGACAATATTTGGATTTGCTTGACGTTGTAGTTCTTTTACCCAAGATTTAGCTTTATCAAGAGACGCCTAATAAATCAATGTTTAATTATCACAAATCAACCATTAGGAATAAGAGTTCAGTCTATAAATTTATAATGAATATTATATTGGTTGTTGATTAGAATACTTACTGCTTTCGTAACATCGTACACCACCACAGCAGCTTGAGCATTACGATAATACATCGGGGCCAAAGAGTGGAATCTCTCTTGACCAGCAGTATCCCAAATTTCAAACTTGATTATTTTATCTTCCAACCGACATTTTTGTGTCAAGAAGGCGGCTACACGAATGCAATAATGATTCATTGCCATGGTAATTATGATGAAGCGAAGTGTATGTAAAGCCAAGAAAAGTATTTCATATAATAATTAGAAAAATATAATTTATTAATTATATAATAAAAAAGAGAGATACATACCGCCAATAGTTGGCTCTTTATTGTCCTGGAATTCGTCATTGACAAACCTCAGTACCAAACTAGATTTACCGACAGCAGCTTCACCTATATAAAGAAAGAAGAAAACACAATCGTACACAAAATAAAAAGAACAGAATACATTAATATGTCAATAACGAACGTAAATATATATCCTTATACTGTTTTCCGGTTATCATAAACCGAATTCCGAAGCAAGCAAAACTTGATGGGAGGTTTTATTTGAATGAAACTGAACAAAATTGACTTTCGAAAAAGTTCTCTATTACCCCACAATTGAACACACCTTCAACAACACAAATTCACCCACCTAATAGTACAAGTTTGACCTGTATAGTTTTTGCATTTGGGTTTGATACGGACGAGTCGGAGGCAGCTGAATTCGACATTTTGGAAATTTGTTACAAGTATGCGAATATCGGTCGGTTGGTTGGTTGGTTGGTTGGTTTGTAAAAAATGATATGATGGTTTTAAGTTCAAGAAAATTCTACTATTATTATTACTACTGTTATTCTTTTGAATGTCACAGGTAGGTGAGTGTTAGGTAGTTATGTGAGGTGAGTTTTGTGACTGATAAAAGATAATAATATAATAATATAATAATATAATAATATAATAATATGATAATATAATATAATATAATAATAATAATAATAATAATAATAGTAATAATAATATTACTAATAATTATATAGAAATACGTCTGGGTCTGATAATAGGTAGGATGGATAAGATGTGTACTTTTATTACTGCTGCCACTGCTTTCGCTTTGGTTCTTTGTCAAACGACTGGATGAATTGTCGTATTATTTGAATATCAAAGTGGTGATTCAAAAAGAGAAAAAATAGCAGTGATATATTATTGTTACTGGGTGCAAAGCTATCATTATTTATTTGTAAAGGCACGATGATTATCTGTGTAACGGTAAATGATGAATGCACAAAAAATAGAATACTATATAGCGATAGAAAAAATAAAAAAAACCCTTTCTCCTTTATTGTGCACAAGTTTGGCGCATGCAATTGTGGCGTGTCCAATAAGGATACACAGATTTTTTTGAAATGAAAAAACGAAAAATGTAAAAAATACGGAAAACAGATACTTAAATCTAGCTTTGAACACTAATAAAAAATGTCAGGTTGACACTAGTCCTAACCTTAACTTTAACCCTAATGATTAACAATTGCCACACATGCGTCCCAGATTCCTTAAATCCTGTTACCAGTGACGATGACGATCGGATGGATTGTAATACATCAATAATAGGCAGTGCTAAGTAAAGCTAGTTCATGTATTTCCTGCATGTTTTAACATATTTGCCTCATTTTGGATAATAATTCGACTCCTAATTCCTCAGCCTTGCCGATTAGACGTTGGCGAAATCGAAACACAGCATCTTTCGGACTATTTTTCGTGTTATATTTCTATATCTTAACTCTGTCCCTAACTCTAACTGAAAGTTTAATAAGTACATGAGTTAGGATTCCGAAGTTCAGTTCAAAATCGAACTGAACCTGAACCTAGTGATTTGAGTTCAAACTCGCTTTACGATTCACCAAGTCAGACACCAAAGGAGGAATGCCCATTCAGCGCTTTAAAAGCTGCTTCTGGTGATGATTCGGATAATACTTGATAAGTAGTATGTAATTGATTGTATCCTCCATCTTCTGGCGTTTGCCGCGAGCTGCCATTGTCTTTCCCTTAACTTTGCGCTTTTTGATTTTTGTATTTCTTCTGATTGCCATCCATGCATTCTGCAGATGAAGATGATGTTGATGGCAAAAGTATCCAAAGTTCATGCTTGTTGGCGAAGAGAACCATGAGTTTTGTAGCATGGAGACATGTTGGAGATTAAAGAATAAACCGCAGTCAATAACCATAATCTGAGATAGTGCTGCAGATTCTAGAGGTTTAAATTCTCTGTACTTGAAGTTGGTGCCTGAGCTGATATTATTGGAGAGTTTATAGGTTGGGAATTAGAAGAGAGGTATTACAGTATTTCTGTATTTCCTGATTTGATCTACAAAGGGAATCTTAGGATTATTTCTCAAATTAGGAAATAGACCACAATGACATAATATTAGCATCGAGATTTACGTCATCACGAAAATCATTATGTACATGACTATGGTACATGATGTAGCACGGGATTTGTACTGTTCATGTGGCGGCTCGTGGACAGCGACTCGATTCGGAGAATATCACTAAAGTTACGAATGAGTGATATTAGTGATGCATTCGAACAAAATGCATTGTGCGGAAGAAGCAAGATTGAAAATGCTTAAAAAATTAAGAAGTTAATAAATCAGAAATGGTATCACAATATAATTACTGACAGAAACACAATACGGCATTAAGAAGAGGTCGAAGAAAATTATTTCAGCAGAACGAACTGCTACCAACATTGTAATGTGATTTATTTAAGTAAGCTTCCCCGCAGATTTCGAGAATTTAGTATTCGAAATGTCTTTTAGATTTACTATCTTATCCGGCACAAACATGTCCGGAGAAAATCATCATCGTCTTCGTTGACGTCTTATTATTTAATGTCCATGATCCCATCCCTTCTTTAAAATAGAGATTATTATGTTGGTTCTTTGGGTTTTTTGCTTTGTCTGATCAATCCATTATAGTTAAAATTATTATATAATAAATCTTGGCGTTGCTCTTGTGAAATGAAATTCTTTTCAGTATCATTTTGAATATTCGTAACGTTTAGATTCTTCTCATTGAGTACCGTCGAAGGTTCAACTTTTTCCTAATAATGATTTTCAAAAATAAAAAGTATACATACATAAATGCACATTATAGTCATAGATAATGACAATGATATAATTATAATGACCTACATTTTCGGTATCGCTTAAAGTTCCCAGAAATTCTTCTAACGCATCCCGATCATCTGAATTATCTAGTTCAAGATTTTCTAGAGTAGATATTAGTTCGTCATCCGTTGGAGACGATTGACGACACTCTGAAAAAAAATAGAAACAAGAAATGAGAAAAATATATAACAATGATATTACGTGATCTATTCAAGAAAAAAACACTCGCCTGGAAATGCTGCCGTTAACCGTTGATTTTCCATTTGTCTTCGATAATTTTCCATTTGTGCTTCAAAATCCGCTTGATATGCTTGAGCTTTTTGTAACTGAAAATTTTCTAGAAACTCTATGTGCTGTTGATGGTAGAGTTCTTTCTTTTTTTCAAACTCTGCGCTATATAAAAAACAAAGATTTTATATAACAATAGTAGATAATAAGATATAAGTAGCACGTTAAATTTAATCATAATTTTAAAATAAAAGCACGAAAATATAAAAATTAAGTACTTTCGACTATCCATATACTGGTTTAACGATATATATTCTGATTGTTTCCATTCCTCAAAATCTTGCACTTGATTCCCTTTTGCAAAGTCAATAATCATCTGATCTAATTCGGTCAGTCTACCTTTTAATTGCACTATATATATTATATTGATTGGTAGTTTGTATATAGTGTAATTAAATTAGCGCTCAAATAAAAATATAAAGATTCTTCTTTATTTACCTGCAAAAATAGTCAAATCATCAATGTCTTCTTTGAGTTTATGCAGTTGACTCGCTTCTGATTTTAAAAGCTCGCATGTTTCATAATGGTCTTCACACTTTTTAAGAGTCTGCATCATCAGTTGATCTGCAAACTAAAAAAATATAATAAATTAATTAAAAAGTCAAATATTTATAAATTCAAATTATAAATAAAATAAATACTCGCTGCTGCATTCTTAAAGTTTCGTTCATCTTCTGCTCGGATCGAATTCCAATCTTCTTCATATCTGAAATACAAGAATGTGGAGTGATGTAAGCTAAGAATATTCGTTAAATTATAGCTGTTAAAATCTTAATATCATACTTTTTCGCAAGTTCTGATGTGACTGTCAGATCTAAACTTTGTATTGTGGAAGATTGAAAAAAGTATTTATATGAATATCTTCTCGTCTTCAGACCAAAAAAATCAATATAAATTTTAATGATTGAAATGTACCTAGGAAGAATAGGTGAACTCGATATTATGGGTGTCAATGCACCTAACCTTGGGGTTAAATTTGCTGGAGTCAATATCTCTGCTGATTTATTGCGGATATTTTCCCATTCCGTTTTAAACGCCTGTATCCTTAATACACAACAGAAGAATTTATTTTATAGTTTAAGGCATGAAAAATAAAGGTCCTTTTGTTTATTTACCCTTGTCTACTAATATTTTTTAATTCTTCTTCGTTAAGCCTGAAAATTTCAAACCGTTGTAAATGACTGTTACCAGGAGAAGTTCTTCTCGAGAAAATTAAACTTTTGATATTTTCTCTTACCCATTGTTGACGACGAAATCTTTGAAGCTTAACGAAGACGAAATGCGCTTGAATTGCTGGAACATGGTAAAACTTTGGAAATTCGGAATGATCGATATTTAGCGTTAGTATAATATAATTTCGTGTTTGTAACACGTATGAGGTCATTGAAAAAACATTCAAAAACAAAATTATCTTTTGGTTCAAAACACGATCTTTGCTTAGTTTCTTCCCTTTTATATTATTACGCTTTTACTTCAATGGCAGATTCATTTCCCGATTACTATGCAATTCTCGAAATTCCAACGACAGCAACTGAAGTGTACTTGGTTTTTTTTTTAAATTACTCATTTTTTTGGTCCTTGGAGGGTAGGAGGGTTGAAAGAGAGGTCATACAAAAAGTTGACCCATCCCCTTTATTAAATGTAGGGAAATAAGAGAAGCTTATAAACGTAAAGCGCTCCAAACGCATCCAGACCGATTTGTCGAGAATTCTGATAATTACCCTTATACACCTGACAATGCTAAAGTAGAATTTCAACGGGTTGCTGATGCTTATTATGTTCTCGGCGATCCAAAACGTAAAGATCAATATGGTAATTAAAAAACCTAGCCATTATACTTGTTAATGGGTTTATTATTATATACACTTATCCATTATTGACAACATATTATGTAGATATAGCAAGAAAAAGAAGAAGAACACGACCTTCTTCTAGTGTGTGGCTCGAAAGGCAGACGGATCCTGAAAATCTATTCGGGAACGTTTTTGAAGAGATGCTTCGACCTGAAGTGGAAAATCCCGCATGGTTTTATACACCACTTGGTGCCGCATCGGGTGCATTATTAGGATTTATCTGTGGAAATGTGCCGGGATTGATGTTGGGGTGCTACGCCGGAAGTAAATTGGGCGCTGTAAGAGATGCAAAAGGTATTAACAAAAATGGTATAAAAATGAATAGTATTGTCTGTATGAATTATTCATATATAATAACAAAATATTTATCTTTTAGGTGTTTCTGTCTATCAAGCATATCAAAAACTGAGTGGATCTCATAAAGCAGCCATTTTAGCTGCTCTTGCCGCAAAATTAATAAAATAATTTTGTGATCTCGTGTGACTAAAGATTTATCATAATGCCGGCCGAGAAATTTGACGCGTAAATCAATTAAAGATATCCAAAATTGCTCTACAGTGCAGGTAACCTAAAGAGCGACAAAAAATTATTTATTTTAAAACTATACTAGTCTTTTAGTATTGTGTGATTTATATAACTCATTAAAAACCAATAAATGTTATTTATTTTTAATCAATTTTGAATAATTGTCTCAAATATATTTTTTGTATTATTTCAAAAAAGGTTATCAGATTTCATTTTAATCTGTCACAATTATTAAAATTACAAAAACTAAAAAAAAGCTCTATTTAGTTTTGTTTTGATTTGTTTTATTTTAAAACAATAAATAAAAACTTAGTATTTAATTTTCAAGCAATATTCTAAAATTTTTGTTTTATTTAAAAATTTTTAGATTTTCAAAAATTAAAATTTCAAAACTAATTTCACAAATAAATTAATAAATGTTAAAAGTGATAATGTTAGTACTTGGTGACTTTATTACTTGTGAATTGTATCTGAAATTACATTTTTTTTATTAAGAAATTTGAAAAAATTGTTGGTTTTTAAACACCTAAAACTCAAAAACTTTTTAGTTCTTTATTTATTCTATCATTATAATAGATTATTTTTTTATAACCTTTAATGTTAATATTAATATAAAAGTCTTAGGATTGAGTTATAAATGCTCTGTTCTATAGAATAATCAGCTAAATTGAAATTACATGACCCATAAATTTTTTATAAATTTATAAGTCAAGTTTACATATATTTATTTTAGTTTTTTTTTAGTTTTTTAAATAATCATCCTAGCATCATCCAGTAAATCTGTCACAAAAATCACATGATATTAACAGAATTCAGATCAAGTTAATCCCAATGAAAATCTAAATTTATAAATATTGTAAATATTTCTTTATATTCGTATAAATACTTGATGATAATGTTGACTTTATTATAAGCAAAATTCTAATTTGTAATTGAATTTCACTTTTTGCTATTTCTTATACATTTCATATTCAAGTTCAGTCACATTTTCACCTATTCTCTATAATTTACTGTATATATTTATTTTATTAACAAATGAAATATTAATTTTGACTTTATTTTTGATGTTTTCAAAAGATAGATTTGTAAACCTCAATATATTTGTGTGATATTTTTTATTTGTTTTATAGTTTTATTTGGTAAACTTGCTCTTATATAGTTAATAAAGCTATTAATAATGAATTCAATCCCATTTTTATTAGAATTAATTTAGTAGATTTTTTAATAATAATTTCTTTTATCTGATTAAACATTATTATTTTATTATTCTTTATCCTTTAAAGAGTTTGCTTTCAAGTTTGAATAATTGTCATCAAGCAAGTTTTTTAATTAATGCAAATTTACATAGTTAATAATATAATCTATATTTTTCTTTCTCAAAGCTGTTGATAATGAATTCAGTATTAATAAATAAGATATTGTCACTATTTGATATTTTGAATCACATGTAAAATATCATATAACATAATTTTGATAATTATTTATATTTCCTTTCATATTTTTCTATTTATAATTTTATTATTAATTATTTAATTTATTTAATTTACACATAATTTATCAAAAATACCAATTAATTCTTTTTTATAACATTATTGGATCTAAATCTATTTTATTTTAAATTAATTTTGTTTAATATTAATTAATATAATGCTAATGTTATTCTAATTTAAATTGTATTACTTAGGTTAAATTAGTATTACACTTATTATTTTTTAATGTTATACTTTTTCCAAATTAATCTTATAATTATTTTTAAATAACATTACTTATTATATAGCTTTGTATTATATTTACATATATTTAAACAGATATAATTTAATATAGAATAATAAGAATTTTTGAAAGTAATAAAAAGTATAGAAATTAATTAATACTTCTAAATAATCTTTGCTTATTATTATCTTTGATTTATTATTTACTTAATCTTAACTTACCCAACTAGTAAAAGTTATCTTTTGTATTTTAATAAATTATTCACACTTTTGAATTATAAAATACTTATTCAACTAGTGAAAGTATTAGAATTTATTTCTTTTAATACTCTTTTTCAATTATCTAGTATCTAATTTTCTTAAGTATATATAGTCATTATTATCACTCTTATATAATTCTTAATTAATTACTATAATTAATTAATATCTTGTCTATCAATATAAAACAATAACAGCATTTTGGTGCTCTCTCTGTAAAGAGTAAAATTGGAACTAGATACAACTAAAATTACTTTTCAAAACTGGATCTATCTAAACCAATTGAAGTCAAGATTCATTATTAATTTGTTGATATAAGAAATAATTAATACTAAACTTATAAAAAAACAAGACAGAGAATTATTTAAACTTCTCCATAATCTATTTGAAGCTGATATTACCAAATAAAAATTTCAAATTAACACTATCAAATATTGATTATAATAGTAGTTATCATCATATACTCTTCTAAAACTATTTGAATTATTCAATTATCTCAATAACTTAACTGAAAAAGTTCAAACTTTCAATTAACAAAGATAATTTTGATTATTCAAGTATAAAATAGAACAAAAATCTCACTCATCAACATTAATATTAACAATTACAGGTCAAAAATCACATTTACAAACAGTAATAATAACATTAATAATTATTCAAAATATTAAACAAAGTTTTCAAAATTACCTAGAAACATCATCAACAACTCAACAAACTCAAAATTTTGAAAAAAAAGAAGAACAAAATGCTTTAATTCTTAATTTATCTCCATTATTACCAGAAAATATCAAATTAAAATTATCACCACCATCACCATTATCTTTATCATCAACAATAACTACTCTAAATATCACTCTCAAACAATTAGCAGACCTAATTAGTAATCAAAATCAAGATCCAATTCCAATTTTAACATTTTTTAAAAATGATCAAAATAATCCAATCACTTGAATAGAAGAATTTAGACAAGTTACAAGAGCTAATAATATGAGTGATGAAAGAAGAATTCATATTATATTAACATACTTATGTGGTATTGCCAATTATTGGTACAAAAATCAAGTTCAAGCAAATAATACATGATCTATATATTATAATGATATTGATAATTATAAAACTTCTTTCAAATCATATTTTCTAAATAAATTTCATATCCAAACTCAATTATTACTATAATAATAATAGTTAAATAACCATATTCAAAGTGCAAATAAATGGTTAGCCAATATATAGCTGATATTTGCTTATTACTTCACAAAATTGATCCAGACAATATCTATTCAACTCAATATAAAATTCGTAAATTTATCAAAGATTTCAATTCATAATATATCTTTTTTATTAATCTGAACTAATTAGAAATATTTGAGAAAGTTATTTTTATTGTTATTGAAGCAGAAACTGTATTTAAAACTATTTATAACAATTCATTTGCATTAGCAATCTCAACTATATCATACAATTATGAATTATAATACAATTAAACATATCAACAATAACTAATAACATTGATATCAATATAACTTTATTAAAATTAATCAAACAAATCAAAAATTTGAATAACAGTAATAATAATAATAATCACAATAACTTTTAATATAATAATAATAATAGAAACAACTTCAATTATAATAATATTTCATACTATAATTGTGAAAAAAATGAACATTTTGCTAAAAACTATTATAGTAATTGTAATAATAATAATAATAAAAGAAATAATTATAATAATAATAAAAATAATAATAATAAAAATAATAATAATAATTACAATTGCAATAATTGACAATCTAGTAGTTTTGGAAGAATAGAAGATATTAATAATTAACATAATAATCTCCTATTATAGTATATTTTGTTTATTATATCTTATTGGACAATTATTTAATTTATTTTTATTGAATATTTCATATAATATATTTTATTGAACAATATTTATTTTTAATTTTATTGATTAGTTATTTTTGAACTTATTATTTATATGAATTGTATATCAATATGATAGATATATTAAATTCTCAATATTTTGAATTATTAATTATTAAAGATATTGAATTGTTAATATTCTGAACCATTGATCTTTAAAATTATAGAAATTTTACTAGTTTAGTATTATAAATATTTAGAGATTCTTGTAATAATCAATTTTATATATAAGTAGCACTTTACTTGATAGCAAGTTAGTAAAAAATAATATAATAATTCAATATAATTTTAACAAGTTCTTAATAATGAATTCACTTATTAAATATCTTATAATTAGATTTTTAGTATAATTTTGATTATAGACTTGAAATAGTCTTGTAATATTGTTATTCTTTGTAATAATTTTCACATACCCTTGTAATTTCTTGTATCATGTTTATCCTTTTTTGTGTTATATTTATCATTTCTTGCATAACATGTTAGAAATTAACACAGATTTACATTTAATACTTCTTAATATTGCACTAATTAGATTAGATGTGAAATATAGATCATATTATTAATTTAGATACACATTGTTTTTAATTACTTTTATTTTTATTCGTTCTTTTTCTTTTTCTTTTATTATTT